CTAAATGGAAGTCTTTCGTTGCTGTGTCTTGGCCACACAGTATGCATAGCACCTGGAGTGTGTGAATCAATAGCGGCGTCAAAATTCAGAAGCTGCATGCCGTTTTCTCCAAAATTATACGCATCCGTTTGCTTTCTTTGGCAGCCGGTTGAGCATAACTCTGCACTTCCGAGAAATGGGAGACAGAATGGATGAATGAATTAGTGCTCAATTGTTTAAAATCACGTGCAACATGCTCCCAAAGACATACAGGATCTCTCCAAGTGTCCAACATGGCACATAATTGAATGACCAATTGACATCCTCAGGACCTACGACTGGATGAGAAGCGAGAGTTTGATGAAGGGGATTTGGGGCTTTCAGGCCCTGGAGTGCACTGGGCCGGCTTTGCAGTAGCATTGTTGTGCAGTGCCAAGATATAGTTACAACATGTTACAACAAGGGCTAGCTCCAAGTATGCAAAAACTTGTTTATTTGGAAGTTTTGCACCAGCATTGTCATCCGCCCCTAGATGCCACGCAAACTAGGGTCCACAGTCCTCCACAGCTGTGCAGATGTGACTTGATATGCCCTGCAGGCTGCATCCAGAGTCATGAGCCGTCTGGGCTTCATCGTCAAAACGAGGAGCCCATCAAGCGCTATGGCGGAACGACGGCGCCAGAGGCACCCTGGCCGGAAGAGCGCCTGAGGCGCAGTGCCATGCTGGAGGACTTGGCGTGGCGGGTAGCTGCGCGAAAACTGCGCGCCACGTGGCGTCAGTCCATTCGTTCGGCGATTTCGCCCGTGGTATTTCGGTCATGTGGGACATTGGAGCAGAGTCAGTCTCACCCTGGGCCTGTCGCAAGTCCTTCTACCTGAAGAAAGCTAGCCTAAAAGCATCTAAAAGCTCTTGTGCTTTCACAGGTTGATCTTTCATGATGCCCAATAGGTTGAGCTATTGCATTTGATAGAGAAGGCATGAAAATGTACCAGATTTTATAGAGGTTGTGGTTTTGATTTTGTAGACAGCATTTCGACTAGTATATAGTAGGCTGAGAATTCATTTCAGAGTGGATGGTGTATCATTGATTTCCCTAAATGTTGGCATCATAGCTAGTGGATGAACATAATATTTTTGCTCAAAAGGTTGAGCTGAACCATTTTATAGAGAACAGGTTCTCAGCACTGCAAGGGTTGAGATTTGATTCTATAGTGACTATAGTGGGAACATTTTCTTCCAGAGGTTGGTTTCGCGTTTTGCCACTACTGTAATATATATTATATAAATACACATTTGACATGGTAGTTTTCCCATGTTTTTCCCTCCAACAGGCCGCTAAAAGAAGAGAAGTGCCACTGTAGCACCTGCCCCTTTGCTTCAGCCATCGAGTGTGACCCCACAAGTGGTTGGCTTTCAGGACACTCCTGACGCCAGACTCGCGCACATCGAGTGCCTTGGTGAAACCAGACCCCAGTTGGATGAGATGCGATGGAGCTGGCGTCAAGGAGTGCAAATACACTCTTGAGGATAGGAAATAGTTCAATTTGATTCCAACTAGGGCGCGAAGCCAAACCCATGAAGGAGCAATAGTAGGCAATAGGTTCAATACATCTAAAAACTGTCCTGTAGGTTCCTCTGTTGCATTCTTGTTTGAGACGGGCCGATTTATTGGATTTTGCTTTAACTCAAGGTATTTATTGGAGAAGGCCCTGCGTCGTCAAGGCAAGGAAGTCGCAGGCGCCCAACTGCTGGAAGCATGTGCCCCACTCATGTGTTGTATATAATATTGGGATGACGAGTAGCTTCTTGGCCTCCAACCTAGTAGCGATGGCCTCCACCTAGTAGCTTCTAGCTACTAGTAGCTTCTTGCCACTAGTAATGCCAGAAGCTACTAGTAGCTTTTTGCTCCTAGTAGCGATGCCCTTTGTCACTAGTAGCGTTCTTGCTACTTGCTTTCTTGGACGACATTAGGTTTGGCCAGTGGTTTGACCTTATGCGACAACTGGCCGCAGGGAGGGTCAAGTTTCTAGCTCCGGTCCGTCGTTGCTAAACGATGCCTACACTCTGGAACTCTTCAACTGTCCAATAGACGTATTAAAAAAGGACCGTTGCAAACAAGCTAACAAACCTGTTGTGTTCCTTTCCCGTTTCAAGTTGTTTCTGTTTCCTTGATTCTTTATTCTCCTTGTTCACTTCCCAAACTCAAGAAAGACCACACTAGCAATGAGTGATTATCACCGTCTCTTGTGATGAAGCACCTCTCAGCAGTCCACATTGGTCCACCACTGCAGCGCCACTTCTACAGGAGGCCACTCGGGCTCAGGGGCCTCCAGCGCCTCGATGATGTCCAGCAGCAATGGCAGTGGCTCGGGCATCAAAACCTTTTGAGGAGTTCTGTTTTTGGGAGGCAGCTACTCTCTGACACTCTAACGTGGAAGTGGAACATGGACCCTCGGATGACTATGTACGATTAGGGTGGTGTCCATTTCCATGTTAGTGAGTCAGAGTCGGAGTGGCCTTAAGTTGAAGTAGTATATATATAGTTATACATATATAGACTTGGTGGTTTGACATGGGCTATTGAAAAACAATCGGTTCATCGGTTTTCTATGTCACGAAAGCTAGCGAAGCTAGCTGGAGTTACTCTTGCGATAGCAAGGTTTCTTTCGATCGGGTGCAAATCCTAACCCCTGATCTTTCAGGTCGACGCCTCCCCCCCCCCCTCCCCTCTCCCCGTCCTTGTCTTCCTCCCACCTTCCCTCCCTCCCTCCCTCCTCCCTCTTCGCAAGTTCGACTCCGTCCTGTCGTCGCTCTTTGGCATGCGGTTAGCGTTGCGTATCTTGCGGCCGCACTGGCTCACTCTCACTCTCACTCTCACTGTCTCTCTCATCTCTCTCTCATCTCTCCCTCATCTCTCGCTCTGCAGTTGGATCTTTGCGATGCCACCGCGACGTCTCCTTGACCTCCTCCAAAAAGAGCGCCGTGTTTTTTCCTACCTCGCTGCCCTCCACTTTCCCATTCTGGAGCGGCCTCAAGTTTCAATCCATTGTTTGCGCGCACTACAATCCGGTCTGAACTAAGGTGATTTGTTTTGTTTTATTTCTTCACAAGGAATGGGTGTTCATTGCTGCCTGTTCCAAATTCGGGGTGTGATGTTGGGGTGGAAACCAGTTCTCCACGGCCCAGCTGTGCAGAATGACCGCGTTTGCTTGCATTGGCCCAGGCTCCAGCGTTGGGCATTCATCCATGGTCAGCAGTCACCACTCCTCAGAAGAGGAAGACTTCACTCCATAAGCCTGGCAGGTTGGCGAATGGGCTATTGAAACACTTTGAGAGTCTAGGTGGAACAGACAGACTTCGGTGAATGTCTTGACTTGCAGGTCGAAAACGCAATGCTGCCGGGAAATAGCACATCAGATTTTGAAACGTTAAAGCGCTATTCAATCGCAACATTGAGCAAGCTTAGTGCTTCAAATGCTTCAAAGTCAGGGCAGGCAGTCTCTGGATGTCACTCTCATTGGGATCAGCTTGACAATGGTTGACAAATACAAAGAGGACGGCCGATGCCAACCCCATGCGTCAAATTCGCAACTGCATTCAGTTTCAACCAATTTGGCGCATCCACTACAGAGCTTGAAGTAAATGGCTTTGCTCACAAATCAGCTAGACTAGATGAACTGTTTGGTTGTTTTTGTGGTGATAGCTCTTTATCGGTGTCTTTATCACAGCTGTACTCCCACGTGCTTGGTGGGGTAGAAGTTGTAATTCCTGATCAAGCTTGCAGATCACCACCCCCGAACCAGGTCAGGTGCCCGTGCCATGTGCCAACATGTTGAAGCGTGCTTGTGGGTGTAAACATTCACTGATTCAAGCATGGTGACCCTGCAACCCTCACGTGCACATTTCACAATGGTTCAATACTAGGGCCTTTAGCCGCTTATTTGCCACACATGGTGTACTGTAAATTCCCATGATTGTCCAACATGTTTGCTCATATGGCAGGGGTTTGGTTGAGAGATGTTTAGAGGGATCACCTTTCAAACGAGTTGGGTGTCAGATCAGAAGTCCACAGCGTGCCAAGGGTTGAAACTGTAGAGCTTGCCACACCAAGTTGGCGAGATTAAGGAAGTGACGGCGTCAGCTTTTAATATGGAACACTGTTCCTGCGAGTTGGCCCCTCAAAGGTGCTAATGATTGTGGAAGTTACAAAAGATATCCGAAGAACTAACATGGAAGTGGATCATGGCCCCTTGGAAGACCATTTTCCCCTACAAACAGGTTCAAACAGGGGGTTTTCCACTTCTATGTTAGTTCCAGGGAGTGTAAGATACCCTAAGATTAAATGCTGCCTGTCAACCCGAGTAGGAATTTCGGACTCGATGTGCTTCACGGCCAAATCGCACAGAACATGGACAGAGCATGGTGCGACTCGGAAACGAGAATCCATTGTATCACCAAAGTCCTGCTGAGGCAACAGCTTGAGACGACATGAGCTGGTTACTGAACCCATAGATGTGCCTGGCAGCTAGGTACATAGGTTTTGGAGGCACATCCCTGAGCACATGTGTGCTGCCCACGAAGCTTGATAGGCCACGCCTGTTACTGCACAAAGGCCGGACACTGAAACATGCTTAGGACTACTAGTTGCAAATCCTCCAATGTTTGGTACAGTGAGGGGTAGAGCCATTGCCTTGCGCAGGTCCGACCATATTTTTTCATCGAAAAAATGCGCTAGAATGTGAAGATTGCCTGGTACTGGGGTCGCTTTGGTGGAACATATGCCTATAGGACTATATAGATCAAAGCAAGTCACTGGTGTTACTGCTGCAACTGAGTCAATAAGTGATACCAAAGTTTGCTCAACCAATTTGACTTTGGCAACCAATTCTTGTGCAAGCCGCATGACAGCGCATGAACGTGGCTGATGGAAGCCACCACGCAGATGTCGAGAGAGCCCAATCTTTCTATCACGGCATCGGATTGGGCCGATCGCTTCACCTGGCAATACCTGGCATCTCAGGTAACACTCATAGCCAGATGGCCACTGTTAGTGCCTCAGAGATTTCGCTGCTCTTTTTCCAGCATGAGCAGATGAGTCGAATGGCACTCAGACTCGCCCGGACTTGCTTCGCAAATTCCGAAAACGCGTGGTGTGTGTTCGTATGATTTCGGGCTATGCGTGGAGCTCAAGGTCCAACATCACTCGAGCTCACTCGCACGAGTGTCGCACGAGGTCAAGCTTTTGCTGGATGCCAATGGCGACGACTTGGTGCATGCCCCAAAGAGACGATCAGAGGAGTAGGGGTGTTCCTTCCAGGTTGACAAAGCATGCAGAAGTCACCTTTTCATGAATTGTGTTCTTCTTACTTCCTAGAAGGAAGTAGCATACTTGACATATGTATATATATATATATATATCTGTGTGTGCGTGTTGCAGATGGTCGCATCCTACCAGCATTCCATCCAGGAAACTTTCACACGCAGGACCTGATCCTGTGGAACCTTTTACTCCAATGGGTACTTCACATGCTGGCCTAAGTGTCTTAAGACTCCAAGATCGTGCAATACCTCTAGGACTGGCTGCTATCCATGTGTGTTTTTTTTTTGTCATTGTAGTCCAGACATGTCCAGATCGCTTATTCTCCACAGGCCCGGCTTTCCCATGCAGCAGCGGTGCCGGTGCTCTCGCGCCTGGCAGAGAAGGTCACGAACCAGGCGGGGTCCGGGGTGTTTTTTTTCGGATGGAAGCGACTCCCAACAGCATAGAGGTGGATTGCTGAGTCAGACGGGAGTCTTAGGGTACATTGACCATCATGAATCATGAACCTATATATATATATATATTTATTTTTTCAGGTACCCCCGCCTGAGACCTACCTTTTTGGGCTTGCAAGGCGTATTGTGAAGCAGATCGTATTTTGCAGAAGCACCTGAACATTAGACATTAGATAATCCTCAAAGATAATTTACCTCTGTTGTTGTGTTTATGTGTTTTAGTCCTCATGCGTGGTCTCCAATGATAAGGCATTTACAAGCAATACTATAAAATTTGTGTCCCTGTTTGTCAAATATTTACTGCTTGGTTCATCTTCATTTTCAAACTGTTTGGATGAGTTTGTTTTCTGACATTCTCTTGATGAAAGGTTCCCCTTTCGTCTTGGGATTGTTTACACCACTGGACATCATGGTCACATAATGGGCAGTCATATTCTTTGTTTTTTCTGATGCCTTTGCTTTTGCTGTTTCATTTTTTCAGTCAGGGTTGTTTTCAGTATTCTGTATTGTTGTAGTATCTTCTTTTTGGCTCTACAACTGTCGCAGGTTTTAACCCTTTAGTGAATCTCTAGTGTTCTGTTATTCTGACATCCTTTGCAATACTGTTTAGTGCTAGTGTGCATTCACACTACTTCTTTAGATACGGTTTAAACATGTTTAAAACCTGTTTCAATTACACAATATACATTCATAGTTTGTAGATATTCGTTTAAACCTGCTATTACGTCTATGACAGTAAGCAATGCCCTTAGGTATTTCTCTTTTACCTTTTCTATCCTGTATTTTACGTTGTTCAACCTCCTTATTAAAATACCTTGTGATACATTGTGTATTCAAATCATTTTCAGTATCATCACTGCATTTAAAAAGACGCTTACAGTATATAACTCTACTTAAATCTGTTTGTATGTACAGCCCATATATACTCCGCTAGGGTACTGCAGACACGTGACTCTTGACGTGTTTTGGCTCAAGGAGAAAAGGCGCTCTGTTTTCATGGTAGCGCGTGAGCCCGGTGAAAGCGAAAGGGACCAAGCGCTGCGCATAAAGGAGGAGAGACATAGCAAGGTAGAGACCTCCGAGGAGGAGGATCAGGAAATCCCGGGAGCGGCTGATTCAGCCGCCCCGAGTGGAAAGGAAGAAAAGGAGGAGGAGCCTTTGCCAGCCGCATCAGCGGCAGAATCGGCCGCGAACACCACTCCGGCGGTTGTAGGAACTGCCGAAACAACATCAGCGGTTGAAGGGACCGCGGAAACAAAAGAAGAAGAAGAAGAGACCACAAAAGAGACAGAAGGAGGAGAAGAAGAGAAGCCTGAACAAGACCCCACAGTAGAGCCAGAGGCTGAAGCGGCTGATCCAGCCGCACAGCCATCGTCTGGCCGAGTGATCGCCGACTTCACCACATCCCCAGAAGGTGTCAAAACAGGTTGGGAAGTTCGTGGCACTCACACCAAATATACTGAAGCCAAGGTTGATTCCAAAGCGCCTTGGAGGGTGAAGAAGAATATTTGGGGACAGGTCAAGAAGCATCCAGAGCCACAGTCCGGATTCCGACTTCGAAGCAAGACTTCGCTTCAGTACCGGAAGCTCAAGGACTTGGTCAGGTTGCAGAAGAAGAAGGGTGTCATCACAGAAGATCTGAGGAGGCGCATCAAAGAGTTCGGAAAGGGGCGCACTCCACAAGAGATCAAAGAAGAGCGGGAAGAGCAAAAGGTCCGCAATCAAGAGAAGCGGACCAAGAAGAGAAAGACCTCAGAGAAGAGTGAAGCGGCTGGTTCGGCCGAGGTGGAGGTCGAAGAAGAAGAGTCGGTGAGCCAACCAAGTCCGGTTCGACAGCCTCGAACACCGGACGGGCCACCGCCGGCTAAGCGACCGCAAACCCGCGACACCGAGCGGGGACGGGCGGTCTGGGGACGTGCACTGGAGTTGAACCTCCGCATCGTCGCCCTAGCCAACGAGCGGGCCCAGCGATTGACGATAGAAAATTGGAAATTAGAGAGCCCGTTCCAAGTGCGAAAGCTTGCGGCCGACGAACTTGTCGAGCAACGAGGCCTCAAGGGTACCGTTGCATTGGCCGCCATTCGCGAACTCTGGAAGACCCCCAACGACCAGGGAAAGAGAGGATCCAACGAGGCTTGTAGTTCTTGTGACGAACGACGGCAGGCACAGTTGCCCGTGGTTCAGGACTACATCAAGCGGCGTGGTCTTAAGGGACCTGCCCGCCTCGGATCGACCGCCAAGACAAAGGCGGCACCAAAAGTGAGCCTGACACATGGGCCGAAAGAGAAGGCCAAATCGAAGGCCGGACCAAAAGGGAAGGCCAAACCGTCAGCCGCACCAAAAGTAGCGGATAAAGCGAAGGCCACAACTGTGGGCCGTCGCCCGGAAGAACTCACACGGACTACTGTTGAAGTCCGTGGAGTGCCAAAAGCTTCCGATCCTTGACCGGGCGAATCGCCCGCGGTCGCTGGAAAAGGAGTGAGCGGCAGCAGCGGGGTTGAGAGTAGGGAACCATGGAACAACAGATCCAACAGCTGACCGATATGGTATTGCAACTCCAACAGAACCAAACGAGGTTGGAGCAAGAGAACCAAGTGTTGAGGGAGTCTCAAGGCGGGGTATCAATGCTAGCCTCAGCCGTAGGAGAATTGGCTAAGAGCCTTGAGAAGAAAGAAGATAGGCGAAAGACCCAAATCCTTATGGACACCAAAGGTTTGGGACGCCCCGAGAGTTTTGGGAATGTTGAAGGGGATTTTCGAAAATGGGCCAGGAGCATTGACAACCTGTTCATAACTACCTTTGGGAGAGAGTTCATTGAAGTTCTTGAGTATATTTTGGAACAGGAAGACGCGATTGAAATGAGTGCTATGGAGTCCGCGTTTGGGACTGGAACCATAGCAGCTATGGATGACCTAGAGGATAAAGCTGATCAAATTCATCGCGTGCTCCTGACCCTAACCTCAGGTGAAACAGAGGATTTGATGGTAGGAGCTTCAAATGGGTTTGAAGCATATCGGCGAGTTCACCGCCGTTGGGATCCCCGAACCGCGGGACGGGCGATTCTCCAACCGGAGAGAGTCAAGACATGGGCCGCGGTGAGGCCAGCGATCGAACAGCTCGAAGAGCTCATCAGGCGGTACGAGTCTCGGAGGAGTGCCGCAGGGATCAGGGAGACTCTATCGGACGACATCAAGTCCGCTTCATTGGAGATGCTGGTACTGCCAGATTTGGAGAAACATCTCTTGTTGAACAAGAGTAGATTGACAACCTATTCGTTGATCAAACAGGAGATTGAACTTGTCATTGAAACATCCCTCACATCAAAGTCACCTGTTCCAAAACCAGGTTCATCAAGTACGAGCTATCAAGGACCTCAACCCATGGACGTCGATTCGATCGGACAATGGATCGCAAGCCTGGTCAAAGGAAAAGGTAAAGGAAAAGGTAAACAGGCCAAAGGTGATGGAAAGAAAGGCTCGAGCAAAGGGGGCTCAAGTAAAGGCTCAAACCCGGCTCAAGATATCACCTGCTATAATTGCGGTAAGAAGGGACACCGAGCGGCCGATTGCTGGAGCAAGAAACGGCCGGATGGAAAAGGCGATAAGTGGTCAGGTTCAGGCAAAGGAGACAAGAGTGGTAAAGGTGGCAAAGGCAATAAAGGCAAAGGTGGACGAAGCGGCAAAGGTAAAGCCGCAGGAAGTATGGAAGAGATGGACGATCCGGATGAGGGCGTTGAGCCAGCTCCAGAGGCTGATGTCGGAATGCTCATGGCAGACTTGAGTGGAATTGGAATGGCGGACACCTCATCCGCCGAAGAATGGATGAAGTTTAACCTGGACACTGGAGCAGCCCAGACAGCCATCCCGAATGGCTGGGAGGATCGAGTGGTTGTCAGTGAAGGCAACGGAGTTGTATTCAAGACTGCATCAGGAGAGTTGGTGCCCAGTCAGGGCATTGGAACCTTTGAAGGGTTCGATGAGAGCGGCAACAAATGCCGCGTGAAAGGTTCAATGGCTGATGTTCACAAGCCATTGATTTCAGCATCCAAGTGCTTAGGCTTTGGAAGGATTGCCGTTCTTGATGCGAATGGCGGAAACTTGGTTCCGCAAGGGTCCAAAGTTGGAAAGGCTGTCCAGGCGATCCTGGAGAAAGCGAACGCTGCAGAGCAGCGGAGTTGGATCCCTGTATACCAAGAGCAGGGAGTATACAATTTCTACTTGAGAAAGCCAGGGTATAAACCGACCAAGGAATGCTGTGGCATCGCGGAGTTGAACGCCACAGGAGAAAGAGGAGATGCCTCTATGGATTCAGGCCGACCTGGTCCAGAGGGGCGAGAAGAGGATGATGAGTTGGAATTAGTTGATGAGGTTGAGAAACCCATCCAGATAAGAGCACCGGAGGACCCAACTCCGGCTGAGATTGAAGAGCACGAGGCGACAGGCCATGTGCAGTATCGAAGTTGGTGCCGGCATTGCATTGCTGGACGGGCTGTGGGACAGCCACATCGGACGAGATCCGAGGAACAGAAGGCGAAGAGCCTTATGCCCACAGTGGCAATGGACTATACGTTCATGTCACGGGGCGGTGTGGAGGACGAGCGAGTGAAGCCGATCCTCGTAGTGAAGGATGAGAGGACACAGTCCTTAGCGGCGACCTTCGTGGACTCGAAGGGAGCGACGCCGTATGCAGTGAAGTTCGTGGCGAACTTCTTGAAGAACTTGGGACACCGCAAGGTGGTTCTCAAGTCGGATGGTGAGCCATCCGTGGTAGCCTTGAAAGAGGCAGCGGCGAAAGAAACCAGCATAGACTGGGTTTCGGAAGAGTCGCCAGTAGGAGACCATCAGGCGAATGGTCTGGCAGAGAACGCCTGCAAGGAGATCAAGCGTCAAGTACGAGTTCTCCGCAGCGCGTTGGAAGAGAAGCTCGGCAGAGCTTAAAGATGATGATCCTGCATTGGCATGGCTGCCAAGACAGGCGGGAGACCTGTTGAGCAGGTACAAGAAAGGTCAAGATGGCAGAACGCCTGAGGCCAGAAGATGTGGAAAGCAATGGCGAAAACCTGCCATAGCTTTTGGTGAACGCCTATACTTTAGAGAAGTAGGCGAGGGAGTTCGCATCCTGAAAGAAGGACGCTATGTAGGGCACCACGGCCGAACAGGATCCATTTTGGTGATGACGGCCGATGGCGTGCGCAGAGGCACAGGAATCCGGCGGCTGAGTTCAGCCGACCGCTGGGACCCAAGTGATTGGGACTTTTGCGGGGCTTACCGTGGGAACATTCCGCGGCAAGGCCTGCCGGTGAGCAGCTGATGCTCGAAGAGCGCCTTGTGGTACCACCTCCCAAGGAGGAACGAGTGGCACCACCACAGCAGAGGCGAGTGTACATCAGGAGAGAGGATGTGCACAAGCATGGAGCCACAGAAGGCTGCCCAGGATGCAAGTGCATCTTGGAAGACAAGAGGACGACCTTGCCGCACACAGAGGCGTGCAGAGCAAGGATCACTGAAGCAATGGAAAAGGATGAAGCAGGGCAAGCAAGACTTGAAGCCCATGCGAAGAAGAGGAAAGAACGGCAACAGCTTGACACTGTGAAGCCGAAAGTCGTGGCCGACAAGGACACCGACATCACGGCCGAAGACGCGGCCGGAGAACCAGAGAAGAAAGAAGAAGCAAAGAGCACAGGGTCGGGAAGCCCGCCGCCAACAGCGGCAGAGGGTGAGAAGACCTATCCCGATGACCCGAAAGAGAGATATGAGATGAAGAGGCAAGCAGCCGAGATAGAGAAGAAACCAGTGGCAAAAGCCAAGGTAGCAACAGAGCCCAAGAAGAGAACAGGAGAACTCAGGATAGATCCACCTGGGGCAAAGGTCAAGCCGAATCCAGCTCAAGGAACAAAGAGGACGGCAGAGACCGCCGTAGAAGACCTTGATCCCAGAGTGGAAGAGAGTCCAAAGAAAACTGAGACGTTTTCGTATGTTCCAGAAACACCACCAGCAGGGTGGAAGCCAGATGCAGCAAGCTTGGTAAAAGAGAAGGAGATCGCAAAGCAGCATCTGAAGAAGATCATTCAAGGAACCTACGAGGCGAATGGCATCGAGATCTCTGAGCAAGAGATCAGAGACATCGCGCATTTGAGCATGCAGATGTCAGCAGTAGATGTCATGGAAATCAACTCGCCCAAGAGGTTCACCGCACTTGCAGAGCGGTACAAGTTGCGACCGGGTTTTGCGGTCGACTTGAATGAAATGAAAAGCGATGGAACATACTGGGACTTGAACAAGTCCGAAGATGTTCAAGAGGTGCACGACATCCTTGAGAAGGACGAAACGGCTCTTTTGACTGGTTCGCCTCCGTGCCATATGTTCTCGCAGCTCCAGAACCTCAACTGGAGAAGCATGGCACCGGATGTCCGGAGGAGGAAAATGGACGAAGCCGTCCACCATCTTCATACGAGCGTAGAGCTGTAGGTCAAGCAGCATCGCTCAGGGAGAAAATTCCTCCATGAGGCACCTTGGTCCGCAACTAGTTGGAAGGATGAGAAAGTTGCGGCCTTAGCAAAAGAAGATGGAGTGTTCGTAGTAAAGGGTCCAATGTGCAGGTGGCAAATGATGGCCACTGACCGAAGAGGACTCCAAGGCACCGGCTATGCGAGAAAGGAGACCGGTTGGATGACCAACGATGAAGGGTTGGCCAGAGTCTTGCAAGGAGTCTGCTCGAATGAATCGGGCAAAGGACCATGGCACCGACACATCCATCTGATCGGAGGCATCGCTAGGCAGGCAGCAGTATACCCACCGCAGCTCGTGAAAGCAGTGCCGAGGAGCCTGCGTGACACACTAGCCGAGAAAGGTGAGTTGAACACCTTTGATCTGTTTGCAGCAGGCCCAGTTCCAGAGATGCCTCTGATGGACCCTGAGTTCGAAGAAGTCTACATGGATGATGTGAACGGCGGCATTTTGCCAGCCGAGAAAGTGAAGGAGGCAAGACGCCTTGAGATGGATTATTTGAAAGAAAAGCATGGTGTTTATGTGCCCCGGCCGAGAGCCGAATGTTTTGAGGAAACGGGGAAGCCCCCGATTCCAGTCAGATGGTTGGACACCAACAAGGGAGATCCAACAAACCCGAACTATAGGAGCCGATTAGTTGTGCGTGAGATAAAGGCAAGAAAGACCAAAGAAGAACAATTGCCAGCCAACTTGCTTTTCAGCAGCACGCCCCCATTGGAGGCGATGAGACTGCTGTGCTCGTTGTGGGCAACAAAGAGAAAGTCCTGCCACAACCAGCCGCTGAAGCTGGGCTTGTGGGACATCTCACGAGCACACTTTTATGGAACTCCAAAGAGAAAGATCTACATAGAGCTGCCGCCTGAGGACGAAGCCAGCAAAGATGGGCAGACCTGTGGACTTCTCGTGAAGTCGATGTATGGAACACAGGACGCTCCAAATATCTGGCAGACGCACTACACAGAGACTCTGCAGAAGGCTGGTTTCCGCAGAGGCTTGTCAAATGCGTCAGTCTTCTACCAAGAAGCTTGGGACGTCAGAGTGATGGTGCATGGAGATGACTTCCTAGCACTTGGAGACGCTCAACACTTGGAGAAGCTCAGCCAAGTCCTCAAAGATGCCTGTGAGCTGAAATGTCTCGGAATTCTTGGAGACGAGGATGGAGACCGAACAGAAGCTCATTTTCTGAATCGGTTAATCCGAGTCGAAAAGAAGAACGGCAAAGGATCAATTGTGAATCGAAGCCGATCGGAGACATGTCGATCTTTTGATCCAGGCATTTGGTCTGGAGAAGGCAAATGGTGTAGAATCACCAGATGTCAAGAAGTCGGCAGATCAGCAGATGCTGGAAAGCCGCAGTCCGCTGCTTGATAAGAGCGAGGCATCGAAGTATCGTTCAGCTACGATGCGTGCTGCGTATTTGTCCCAAGATCGACTCGATATTGGACACGCAGTCAAGAACCTTGCTCGAGGTATGGTATCACCAACAGAAGCCAAACTTGCTGACTTGAAGCGTCTCATCAGGTACTTGAAGAAATACCCTGATGTTGGGCAATGTTTTGGCTCATAAGAGACACCCTCAAGGCTGAGGGTGCAGGTTGATGCCGACCACGGTGGAGACGCTGTGACGCGCAAAAGCACGACTGGCATGGTTGCTATGTACGGCATGCACGTGTTAAAACACAGCAGTAACATCCAATCCACTGTAGCCCTTTCCACAGGTGAGAGTGAGTACTACGCACTTGCGAAGGGAGGATCTGTGGGCTTAGGCCTCCAAAGCCTATGCGCAGACCTTGGTTTGGATTTGGGAGTCACCATCGAGGGCGATTCCAATGCAGCCAAAGGAACAGTGAATAGAGTGGGTTTAGGTAAAGCCAGACACATCCAGACCCGCTACCTATGGTTGCAAGAAAGGGTCGCCGAAGGCCACTTGAAAGTGTCCCTGGCCAAGCTCCACTACCACAACTGAAAGTGGCTAAGCAGCGAAGAGTTTCACATGTTTCCTTTTAAGCTTGCGCAGCAGTACAGTGCTTTGCAAGAGGAGGAGTGTTTGTATGTACAGCCCATATATACTCCGCTAGGGTACTGCAGACACGTGACTCTTGACGTGTTTTGGCTCAAGGAGAAAAGGCGTTCCGAAACGTCGAAACTCTGTTTTCAAAATCCCTAGCTCGTGTGACAGCCGTCCACAGCCACTTCCTACTATAATGTCTTATTCGTATTCTCTGCAGATTAGCCTTCGCAAATTTTGCAAAGTTTTTGGGAGTCAAGATTCAAGATTCTGGGGAAAAGTTCTTCAACCCAAGCCCTGACAGAATCTTGAATCTTGAGTCCAGAATCATTTGCAACTGTGCAAATTTGTTAATTCAACATGTGCTTGGTTTCGACACGTGTGTATGCAATATGTTTACATATGCATACATATATATATATGGCACCCCCGCAATCCATCCAAAACTTCTAAATAAATGACCTCAAAATGTGCAGAGTTCACTGGAAAGTGTAATAAGGTAGGTCTCAGGGAAGGGCGTGCCATATATACAAGTTTGTTTCTTTCTTGTGCTGCCAGTTTATGAATGAATCGTCCATCAGAACTCGTACGTCAGTGGCCAAAGCTACCACCTAGGCACCCGACAAGATTCGGGATGTGACTGCTGCGTCCTGAGTTGGTGAGGGTGATTGATGCAGGGGCAATGAATGACGGCCATTATTGGTGTTTCATGTGATGTGTATTTGGCAGTTCGAAATGCTCATCACATGCTTGGAGCCAACATACCCGCTATACCAGAACAAGGTTCAGCACCAAAGGGAGTTCTCAAAAGTATTTCACTGCAAATCGTAGCCTGATGCCGTTCAACCTTGCGGCTGAGGCTGCCCGGAGACGTTTCTTAATCACTTTGCCCGCCTCTAAGTTTGCCAATGATGGTGGCTCGGGGGTATATACTTGAGTGGACTACTGCGGGGCTGCATGCTGGGTGAATGGCACCTGTCCTTATCGACGCGGAGAGTGTGTGTATATATATATAATTGTGCATCATATTTGTACACAATATACTTTTGCACGAATCTACTCCTATTCGACGAAATTCCAATGTTTCCCAACCTGTCCAAGTCCCTCATCACCACTCGTACACTTTGTCAATCACTTTGCCACCATTGCTTGACATATGCATCGTAGGATCATCTAGGATCGTGTTCTCTTGAAATCGTTACCTGATCAATAGGGATTCCAGTGTGGTTCTGTTCTGTACTCTGAACATGGAGCTGGACTTGCCTCAGTTGCCACATCGCAGATGCTTTTAAATTTGCAGTCTGTGGCCAAACATGCAGTTGGTGCGCTTTCCAAACTAAGTTGAGGTCAGTCTAGTCAAGGCCGGGGTTCGTCATTCATTCCCACACTACTCTTACTATGAAGAAACGTCTATATATCCGCCTCAGCAGTTGGGGTAGTGTTCCGGTCACAACTCGAGGGTTTTGTTATGCGACTGCACACATGACCGCTTGCGCTTGCTGGTTCTGAGCAAGTTGGACATCTGTGGGTGCAATCTGTGCTGTAGAGTGATGGCCTGAAGCCCTGAAGCACTTCGATCCTGGCTGAGAAAAAACAAAGTCTAAAAACACAGATTTAGATGCTAAAAACACCAACTTTCGCACTGATATCAGTTATAGGGCCTTGTGTTGACATCTGCAGCATCGGTATAGGAGGCTTTCCACCATGTTTCATCGGCAACGGGAGACTCGGACACGCCGTTGCCTGTACTGCGTTCAAATCAACACGATCCGGGGTTTGGTTTGTTTGATCTTGTTTGGCGGGCTTCCTGGCCGATCCCAGTGAAGCTGCTTTCAAGAAAAACATCAGAATGAATGTCTCCTCAAAGTCATGATAGAACTGTGCCTGCTCGTCACCTTCTTCCAAAACACTTGGAAGATTGTTTCTTCATCCATCTCACCCGTGTCCACATCGTCAGTCAGGTATGGTCCCACATCATCTTCAGTATGGTTGCGGTAAGAGTTTTGCTGCAGTTCATTCCAGAATTTAGTTCCAAGAAGCCGCTTGCTGAAGCATAGGTGAGTCTCTCATGGTTCTCCATGTTGATTTTGTTGCGGTCTTCCATGGAGAGTGTTGATTGTCGATATTGTCGACTGAGGATGTAAACGCAATGTGTTCAACTGTTACTAGTTACTCCAGCTCCTACACGAAGGCGTTGTCGTTCCGGCTGATGTAGGAATCATTGCTCTCATCGGCCTTTTGGCTGACTTGAGAGATTGTTTCTTTTGCAAGGAGCTGGAACTTCTTTTTTCCTCCCAGTTCATTGACCATTTATTGGGCTTCTACCAGGTAGTGTGCTCCCTCCTTGGTGTGTAGCGGCTGGGTCCAAGCGCGCAACCTTCTGCAATGCAGCCCCATTGACTTGTAGTGCTGCACGAGGTGCAAGATGCTCAATGGACTTTGCTGGCCAAATATCGCGGAGGAATGCCAGTGTTCGTCCGTAGACTAGTATGTTTGTAGCTCCTGGCTCGAACGAAGAAATCTGATTCCACCGAAGAGTTGTACTTCCACAGGTCCCTTGCACTTTGCCATCAGCCATTGTTTCGATTGCAGGCATGGTGATGCTAATAGCAGGAAGTGATTTGCCCTGCACCCCGCTGGACAAAAAGGAACCATAACATAGCCCATCATAGCCCTATCTATGATGGAACCTTGACACATGTAGTTCAACTCCAACCCAAAGGTTTCCCAACCGGTCGACCCTGCTTTCTGCTTCCTTTGTTCACCGGTGGACCGGATCTGCTGACCCGGCCACCGGTTGAGATTTGCAATGTCCCACATTCACACCGTGTATAACATGTAATTATACAAACATAGTAACATATATATATATATGTATGCCATAATACTATGTAATTGCACATTTGTGAGCTAAATCAGTTTCAGCAAGGCGTTTTGAACGATACCTTGATCCCCTGGCTTTACGTGTTTCTTGATGTAGCTACTTCAACGCTTGTAAGTCTCCTTACAAAACACTCTGAGGTCAGCGGCGGATCGAATTAACAAGTCGGATTTTCGTGGCAGGTATGGGACGGTCAATTATAACATTAAAGGCTTTCCGGGGTGACAAATGACCGCCCACACCTTCCCTTGTCTCATGGTGTAGGATTCTAGGGAGGTAAAGTTGTCATGAGTTTAACGTCAACAAGCGCAACTTTCATCTGGCCAGTGTATGTCTTGGCGACCGGATATTCCAGGATATGCCTTGATTGTTGGGCTTTCAGTGCAATTTTCCCTCAAACGGATCACCACCGCAAGAGCTGGTCCACTCGGCGTGACACGGTGTCACCAAGCAGCGCGTTGTGGTGTTCGCTTCAGCTACCTTGCAGCTACCCCCGCCTGCCAAGGCTGTGGAGATTCGAGGATTTTTGTATCAAATCCTCCCAAAGCCCCAAGACAGAGCACTGTGACTGGAAATCCATCATTCACTGACCTTGGGGAAATCATCACAGTGAATTCTCCATGGTTCGATGTCCGGCCATTTTCCCCAGTTTTGTTCATGATTGATGATGTACGATGATGTATGATGATCAACCGATATATATATATATATATGGATGTTGGATGATGGATGATGGATGATGGATGATGGATGATGGATGATGGATGATGATGATGATGATGATGATGATGATGATGATGATGATGATGATGATGATGATGATG